TTACTACTATCTATATCCAATTCCTTAAAAATATATATATATATATAAATAAAAATAAAATAAAACAATTAAATTCCTAAACAAATACACATTATCACATACAATTTTATTTAAACAAATAAATCAATTAAAACATAAATAATTAAATCAATTAAACAAACAAACAATCAGCCGAGAAATCAAATAAATAATTAAAATGTAATTAAAATAATTAAAATAATACCGAGACTATCCTTTTGAAATTAGGGGTATTATAGGTCCCATCGAAACTTTTGAATGAGAGCATCTTGAACTTGCTTTGCAGGGGGTATTTCATAACGACGGGGCTAAATGGCAAACTAGTCCTCCGCACTTAGTCATCTACGGCGGCAGGACCTTCCTCATTCATAGCTTGCATTACATCTTCTATTTTTGCCTTGGGATCCTGGATATGCAAGTCAAAATGGGTAACCTCCTCTGTCTTTTCATTGACTGTTGCGTCTCTATGAGGTTAGGAACTCCGTGGAAGAGATGGATGAGTCATTTCTCTATGTAGGTTCCCAACCTAGATTTGCTCCACTTCAGTCTTATTTCGGGGAGGATTGTTATCCCGCTCCTTAAGGTTTCTATTCCCATCATTTGGGTTTTGGGAGATCTTGTTGTGGGAAATTCTGCTGAACCGATAACCCGCTGGGACAAGATATTGCAGGATCGCTGCATTTTGTTATATCAACTGGTCCATACCTTGATTCAGAGTTTGGACTTGCTGTTCCAACGCTGCAAGTCGTTCCTTGTCGTTTGGGACGTTTGGGTGTTCACCTGACCCTTCGCTTTGATTGGATCCCTGCAACAATGTTTCCTCTCCAATAACCATACCGGACCTCAAATGCATATACCCAACAGAGCAACTTATTGATTTAAAAGGGAATCGTCGTTCCCACAAATGGCACTAGCTGTTGAAGTAGAAATCAGCACGACCCGAGACGACACCATTTTCCTATAAAGAAAAGAGGATAAGATCAATGAACCTTGATGACATCGGTGTGGTGCCTACTAAGAGCTCTCCGATAATCAAGTTAGTCACCAAAGATCTAAGAAAAAGGCAGGGATTTAATATATTGTTTTTGTCATACCTGATTAACTGGTAGGGTCTTGTTCTTATAGCCAGCTCTCCCTCAGTTCATTGCGAGATTAGAGGAGATTTGTTCGTTACCAAATCATACGAGATTTGTTAGGGAGATTATTTGCTCCTTTGAATTTGAATTTGTATCGAGGTTATCTTTACCCGGTTGAACCTCTTTATCTTATCTGTTTAAATTGTCCTTATCAAGTTCAAACGTAAAATTCATGTTGCAAAAGCCAAACATAGAATAAAGTGTGTTTGGTTACACATATTTAGAATTAGAATTGAATAAAAATTAAGAAAATATTATGATGAGAACAATTTATGGTAATCCCGCGCTGTCATCCATTCAATTCATTAGGCCTACTTTGGTATGTAGAAATGAAATTGAATGGAATGGAATTAAGCTGGGAATGGAGTATTCTCATTCTCTTATTTGGTTATAAATATGAAATGATATTGGAATAAATTGATAGTCACAATTCCAAGTGGTGGTGATGGCGGAAGGCGAGCGGTGGAGGGTGTCGACGGCGGCGGTGGAAGGTGGTGGCGAAAGGTGATGATGGCGATGGAAGGTGGCGGTGGTGGTGAAAGGCAGTTGAAGACGGCGATGGTGATGAAAGGCAGTGGCACGATGGCGGTGGAGGAAGATAGTGGTGAAAGGTGGTGGAGGCGGAGGAAGGTAGTGGTGGAAGGCCAACGACGGCGGTGGAGGAAAGCGGCTACGGAAGGTCGTAACTATATTAAATTTTAATTGGGAATAAAGCTTTTTTTTTTTTTTTTTTTTTTTTCTTTATAATTTTAAAAAGAATTGAGATTTTCTATATTATCCATTAATCTGACAATGGTGAGAACAAAATATTTTTTTGAGATATATATTTTTTAATCTCTATTTAACTAGTAAAAAAAATACATATATTAGAACTTTCTAACTTATGAGTGGCATTAAACCCTAGGAAATGTATAACTCTCTACTCAGAGAGAGATAATACACTGTTACGGGAAATATATAGAGAGAATTTTTTCTTTTTTTATTTTTAATGTGAGAAAAATCCTTAAAAGTTGGTTAAATGTGCACATAACATCTCTATACTATGAAATTATTAGCAAACACACCCCCTTGGACATTTTTAGAAGGGTTAAAGGGCAAAACGAGCAATACAACATTACTTTATGTCAAAAAATTGTTTAAATGGTATTTTTTCACAGAGAGTAATGATACTTTGTTCGATCAAATTGGCCTACTCCTAGTCCGAATACTATGTGTAATTGTTACACAATTACCTAAATTAATATTTCTTTGCATGCTAAAGATACCAAAAATAAAAAATAAAAATATAAAAATGGAAAGAAGCTGAAGAGGTTTTGACGATCCCTCTTTGATTTCATTCTTTTTCTCTCTGACTCATGATTCTCTTTTCCACTTTGCAAAATTGAAGGGAAAACAAAGGATTGAGAAGTTGCTATTGGTTCATAAAATCAAAAGGGAAAATACATATAAACGTATATGTTTGCTTGAAGAGAAAAAAAAAAAATCATAATAAGATTGATAGTATGTATTCATATATATATATATATTTTTCAATATATATTTTGGTTTCAGTATATTGTACCATGAGTTTTGCGGATTTGATTAGAAAAAAAAAAAAAATTAATAAACTTCAAAAGTTCATTACGAAGTGGATATATGGGCTACTTTTTTAGCAGAACATATATAAGTAAAAAGTAATGTTGAATAGAATCACTTGGATGAATACAATTCACATTTATTAGAGGATATAATTGTTGGCATCCCTGAATCATTCATTTAATTCTATTTCCATTATACATAGTATTTACCAATATATAAGGAAAAGTTGAAGACAATAAAAACATTAACTTTTGAACAGAAATCATATTGATCAATTTATCACTGTTTCAAGGCTCACCAAAAAGAGATATTTGAAAACAAAAAAATTACCAAACATCAACAATTCAATCATAAAAGTTTAACTGTTTGCCGTCATAAAACAACATAAATATTGTATCTAAATTTAAGCCTTAATAGAATTTTCATTTTTCATTTGTACATTAGATTTCCAATTTAACTTAGAAGTAGTTTTTTGTTGCCAAGAAGAAGATGACTCCAACCTTAATGGAATTTGCATCTTGTCAATCCTTTGTTTTCCTTTCAATTTTTCAAAGTGGAAAAGAGAATGTAAGTTAGAGAGATAAAGGACGAAAACGAAGTTACCAGGGGAGAAATCAAAGAAGGGTCGGCAAAACCTCTTCAACTTCTTTCCATTTTTATTTATTTTTGGTATCTTTAGGGTGTGAAGAAATATTAACGATTTAGGTAATTATGTGGCAATTATATGTAGGATTCGGACTAGGAGTAGGCCAATTTAATCGGACAGAATATCGTTACTCTTTCACAAAATGTTAAAAGAATAAAGGAGTTATTAGCACATTTTTTCAAATAAGGGGTGAAAGTGCTACACGGGGATCCAACACATACATATACACATATATAGAGATATATAAACACTTGTATAGACATTTGAAGTCATTAGCCACTGATCATAAACATGCCTTAGCCACACCTGAAATAATTGGGGTTCGTAGTCATCAACCACTGATCATAAAAAAGGAGAGTTGAACTGAAGGTTGTTGAGTTTGGAATCATATAGAGAATGGTGACGCAACAAAAACCTTCATCTATCTTTATATAATGCTCTATCCACCTAACTATGTATTATATATAAAGATAGATAGACAATATAAATATCAGGCCAATATAAAAATGAAAGCAATTTTTCAATGAATCACACCCCATTCTCATTTATTATTGCAAGCTCATTTGTAACCTAAATTATTCACTCTACAACTGTTTTTCCCTACCAGGGGATGCACAAAAGCACTAAAATAATTGTGCACAATACACGCAGAAAAAATATGTTACTGATGCAACTTTTTGTTAGAAAAATATCAATAATGCACATTAACACACTCTCACAAACTAAATTTATCTTTAAATCAGGCAGCAACCAGATCCTTGTCTGCATTTAATACACACAATGCAGACAAAGATCATGGGACGAACATCCTCGTATTTCTAATTTTATTTTTCTCAAAATTCTTCGCAACTACACAAAATCCAGGATAAATACTCCATTCCTCGGCAAACAAAATTGGTTGACACACAAGACATACCCAAAAATCGGAATATACTCTTAACAAAAGGGAAAAGCATAACTTGAAGATTAGCATGGCCCCTGCAACTTACCGGGAAAAAAAAATGAATTGAATGAGCATAAGGACAAACCTAGAGACTCATGTCATTGCAGGGTCTGGGAAGATTAGATGTACGCAGCCTTACCTTCGGATACAGATAGGATGTGTCCTGCTATTGAGCTGAATGAGCATGTTCATCCAAATCTCTACTCAACCAAACAATAAACCAAACAAAAATAATATTCAGGTACAATTTATAAAATGAAAAAACAACTGCAATTAATATACTAGTATGCTATGTATAAGTTCCATTGTACCAGCTGGCAACCTTTGTTTGCATTCAATACACACAATGCAACAAGCTAGACACGAAGGCTAATCAAAAGACTCTGTCAAGACTTACCCAACTGAGAGAAGGAAAGGAAAGAAAAATCAGAAGAGAAACCATGGTCCAAGGTATTTCAAAAGGCACCAAACCGATAGCAGATCTTATAACATATGTTGTAAAGCCCAGAGTCAAGGCATATAAAAGGAACAAAAAGTTCTTGAACTGGGCTCAAGTCTAGCTGTTTTTTTCTATGACAATTAGAGGGCAAATTTAGAGGGAAGTCGTAAAGATTTCAAATTGTTGAAACTGGCACAGTGGAATGCCAGAGTAAAAGCGCACACAGCAGTAAAAGTCCACTTCTCAATTCTCAATTCACATTACCTTATCCAATCCCAAGTAAAATCCATTAACACAAAAAAACATTACATCAACACCATCCCAAGTCCCAAACACAAACTACATATAAACATCATAATAGAGCAAACAAGGACAAAGCCAAACAAGGAATGCATCATAAATTTCCTCTTCTTTGTTGATATTCGGCAAACATTGCTTGTGCCAGTGCGTCTCTTTGAGTCCATTCATTTGATGTCTAGATTGTCCCAATACGATTTGTATTAGCTATAAGGGATTGCCCCACCATGAAAATCAATTTCCTCGGCAACTTCCAAGTCATCATCACCATGAACAGATTGCCTTGCTAATCCAGCTTCTACCTCAAACCACTTCTTCAACACAAACATGCATCGTATCGTTAAGGCATACTTGTTCAGAATCTTGCATAAATTATCAAAGGTTTTCTTTGTTAAGGCATACTTGTTCAATACAAGCACTCTCACTCCCATAATAAAGGCGGCGTAAATATAATTCCCGTGCCATTTTCAAATCTTGTGAGGGCTCCTTATCCAGAAGCATTTCCACACAAGGAGGCAGGCGGCCGGGAACCTTTGCTTCTATACTTCTCATACCACCACACAACTGCAACTCGCCATTATAATTACATGAAAACCGAAGATGTACTTCCTTTATTTTCTTCTCTCATTTTCATCAATATTAGAGGAATGAACACCTAAATAGTTTTCCATTTCTGTGACAAGAAACAGCCAGTGTCAACAAAAATACACAAATGTACCAATGTCTGCAATTCACAGCTTACATATTAGAAAATAAATAAACACAAAGCATAAAAGCAACAACTTTCCAACACTCGGGAATTCTCTATGCAAATTGGCATCAACAACATATGTCAACACTCGTATACAAGAATTTAATTGCCATCTAGGCACAAAATAATACACCAAGCTCATTAAGAATGGAGTGACTTGGCTTAGTTGACAACTCCTCAACAAAACATTTGCAACTAATGTATAGCACATCTAGTTAAGATTACAGAGATAGCCTTTAATTATATGCACTCCAAACCATAACATGTTTTATATACAATTCTTGCAACATTTACTTCTCAATAGTCCATGTAAAATATCTTGCCGACGTCCCTTTCTTGCTGCCTCTCCAATTTGTGATTCAGGTTCGATGCCAAACAAATTACTTCAATACATGGAAATTAATTACATAAGATAACCGTTTATAGTTGTCATTACAAATAGTAAAACAACTAAGACTACTGCATGCTGAGAAAAATAAAAACTGGTAAAAAAAGAAAAAGAAAAAGGAGAATAATAAAAAAGACAAAGTACAATAGAGTGTCTTAAGAAAATTATCTTTTAGCTTTGGGAGAATATCTGATTCCTCATTGGGGCCCCTTCTGAAAGCAATTGGGATAAATAAGTATGTTAAGAAAATTGATGGTTCCCTAGATGGTAAGATTGGGCACTTTACAAGAGTGGTGTCACTTTACTCATCAGCAGATTGGGCACAAGAAGGGAATGACCCATGTCTGCCAGTTCCATGGTCCTGGGAACTGTGTAATTCAGATCCCCGACAAAAACGGTTTCATTGTAAAGTTTTTTCCCTTTTTGTTCTACTCAAGTCATTTAATGTCTATAAAGTTTGTGCCTTTTTAGAGGTTGCAAGATTCATGGTCTTGTAATATAGAAAAATGTAGTGGTAGGACATTGCACCAGAGTTTATAATTCTTTCCTTTTCATTCTCTCATATATATGCTTTTGTGATATAAATTTGCATACTGCACACATGTTTACTTGAGCTATAAACTGATATTTTAATTGATGGGAATTGAATTATCAAAATAACATCAGCAAGGGGCTAAATATGGGCATCTAAACTATGGGTTGAGGCAATGAAAGCAACATTCCAAGTTTTGTTTTGCCAAATCAAATTTTGAATAGAATTTTTTATACAAGTAAACAAAGCACCTTTCCACTATTAGAGCAACTGAAATGAACATGCTGCAAGCAAAAGTACTTTCCATCATAATTGAAAAATATAAATAAACTACTAACAATAGAAGCTAGCACATTACTAGGATCTGTACTGCTACCTACCTTGAAGCTTAAATCAATGAGTGAAGATGAGGAAGAAACAAATAGCTAGAGCAGAAAGTTTACTGTGCGAATTGAAACCTTCAGACCAACATGTGCCATTCATAAATGCATCTGTTTCTCTTCAGCCTGAACAAAAAGAATTGACCATGAGCTAAAGAATAAGTATTAACAGGCAGTAAAACCTGAACAAATAGAAATGGACAACCTTAACCGCAGCCCAATCGTCTCAAAATAGAATTGAGAACAAATAGGATTGACCATGCAATATCTCTTTGCTCGCAAATTGAATAATATGGATGACAAAGTTGTTCATTTTTTATTCCAAAAGTAAGTCTGTTTCATATTTTCAACAGAAAAGTTAAAATATCCAATAGAAGACTTCTTCTGTCCAAGCATAGACCTTTGTGATAGAGAATTTCATGGACCACCATTTTAGTCTTCAGGCAGCACATCTTTATATTTAGCCTCCCTCCATCAAAGCACTAACAAGCATTTCTTACAGTGCTTCAACTTCTCCTGACAAATTTTATTGGACTCTTACAGAAAGGTGTATGTGTGGGCCAAATCATATATTAATGTAATGACTTTTCATGTACACTGTAATCATAATATTAAAAGTAACCCTACGTGGAAAAAGATAAAAACAAGAACAGAGGTTGAAAAACAGAGTAATTTCTACTTTTCCATCTTTATATGGAGGATAGGCTTTTTAATAAGTTGAGGTGTCTATGGCATAAGACTATAGGCAATATTACTAAAAAGGAATATCCGTACACATATTCATACAATATATAATTTGAGAGGGATGAGTGACTGACAATTTATGTCGTTCTATGTATAGATAATAATATAAATTCTAATAATTGTATGGTATTACTTTTAGGCATAAACTGTAAAAGTTTAATGCCAAGGCAAAAAGAACATAAAGCAAAGCTAATCTTGAAAAAATTGTATTAAAACCATATGCAAACTTGATCTCTACTCAGCTTGACACAAATCTATTTAGAATTACAAATCAAACTCATTTGGAGATCTATTCATATTCAATGAAGACTTTGTACTTGGATCAACACATCAGCTGAAATTATGGTCCTCAATTGAATAGATGAATATAATATGTATGAGGTAGAGATGCTGAAATCAAGATAAGAAAAAAAAGCCCTGAAACAAGGAATGTCCTCGGAATCTACAAGTGGGCAATAGTAGATGACAAGCTGGCAAATGTTTTTACTTGAAAAAGAAGAGTAGAGTTCACTGATGCTTAAGTTACACTGCTAATGCTCTTCACTTGCATTCTATGAGTGTCATGATGATCAATCATAATTTTTTAATTATCCAAAAAAAAAAAAATGATGCCCATAATATTTAATTTTTTTTCAAAAAATATCCAGGAATTGCATTAATTTATGTGAATGAAGAAAGTAATAAAAAGACTTACACAACAGAGACATGTTTTCCCAACCACTCAGACAGTCATGATCTACTACTGATCATAAAAGTGCTTGAAAGATGGTCTCAAACAATTCTGCAGGTCACTGTATCAGTTAAAACAACTGTTATAGAAGCAATAACCAGCACAGGTATTTCCCATCAGGTGGCATTACTCATTATTCATCGTTCATTATTACAAAGAGATAAGATTAGTGACCACCAAATCAATGATAAGAGTGGAGTGCAACATGTTGTCTAATGATGTTCATACACACCATGACCATTCATGTACATAGATATATACATCTATATATATACGTATATCTGTAAGGTTGTGTAGAGTTTTTCTTTTAGTTTCTAAGGTAAAGAAACTGCAGTGCAGATATGAGTGATTACAGCTATGATAACAGAAGACCAAATTAATATTAGTACATATACTAAATGTACTTTATTCCATATGCAATAAAAGAAAATTTGTACTAGTTTATGGTTCACTTTAGTGTGAAGTCTACATGATAATGAAAATGCATACATGATTATTATCACCGCAAGGAGATACTCCATTTCTCAATTTGCAGCCAATAGTTTTCTGAAAGAAAATGATTGTTCCCTGCACATGTATAGCCAACTTGGAGGTCAATACTCATTTCTGGCCATTGGTACACTTCAAAAAGAAGAAGGATAAAACTATACAGCCTACCAATTTGGACTGCCACTGCTTCTGGTTTCCAAGCAGTTTTCACGGCAGCTTCTTGATCAGATTTCAGCTGTGTTGCTTCAGAAAGATGAAGTCAGTAGAGTGTACAATACATCAATCATAGTGAATTGTTTGTCATTCAAACTTATAAATATAATTGAGATTTGCCACTAATATACTACGCATAAAGAACTTCACATGGTAAAATTCGACCTATGCATTACATTGTAAATTGTTAGAACAGGCTACTTTTTACGAACTTTTAACTCTAATTCTAAATAAAGATGAAGTCATAGTGAACATCAATCCTCTGGATACTTGCATAATAAGATGCATGTACCAGTGTTAGTAGATCTTATATAACTGTAACAGGTAGATGATTAAAGAGGTTAATTGTCATTATCAAAAATATAAGAATATCAAGAATATGTAAACAAAAATATATACAAGAATATCCATCGAATAGGCTACATATATGATAATAATATGAATCAACTTGACTATATAGTCAACTAGAAAAAGGGAGGAAAAAAAACATGCAACAGGGGAACATCATAAGGAAGAGTTGGAAGGTACCTGAATGTTTGAAGCTCAGAATGATTATGAGAATCCGACCAAGAGAAGTACAATGATGACATCCTAATGCCCTTGGATCATAATGAGTTGACGTTACCATCTCCTAGACTCCCACTAATTCCTTTGTATCATCACCAATTTGTTTAATAAAATGGATTGGTCCAGTGGATGAGACTCCCACCATTACTGGTCTGGGAAAGGGTTAGATGTACGCAGCCTTACCTTTGAGGAAGTTTCCTTATATCGAACTTGTGACCACCAGGTCAAGATGGAGCGGCCACCCTCCTTTCTAATAATAATCTTCACTTTTGTGGGTAAATCATTTTTGGTATCAAAGCAGTCTTTTGCATCAGGTAACAATTCAGCCACTATCTCAAAAGCCAACTTTGCAAAATTAGTCAGTTCTGTAATTTTAACTTCTCTGCAGTCTGCAGAAGAGCTACCCTCTTATTTGTGGAAAGAAAAAAGCTATATCCAGGATTCTTTTTCATACTTCTCACTTCAGTCAACTTCCGCGTCTTCCAAGCATTGTCCCACAAGCCAGCTGCAGCATATATGTTTGCCAAAGCCACATAGTTGACTGAGTTCACAGGGTCTAGATGAGATAGATGCTTGGCTGCTACTTCTCCAAGAGACATATTGCCATATATGTTACATGCCCCAAGAATCGCACCCCAAAGCGAAGCATTTGGTTTGACATCCATTTTGCATATCAAATCATAGGCTTCCTCCAACAGGCCTCCACGTGCAAAGAGGTCCACCATACAAGAATAATGCTCCGCTCTAGGCAAGATATTGTATTTGCCGACCATATTACTGAAACATTCCCATCCTTCACCAGTCAATCCACTATGGCTACATGCGAAGAGAAGAGACAAGAATGTGACATCATTTGGCTTCAACCCTTCACATTCCATCTTTCTATATAGTGCAATTGCCTTGTGTCCATAGCCATGTTTCCCATACCCAGCAATCAGTGACGTCCATGAAATAACATTTTTATCCTCCATCTCCTCAAAAATATGATTAGCATCTGAAATTTCTCCAGATTTTGCATACATATCAATAAGAGCATTGCCTAAGGCCATATCATGACTAAGTGGATATTTTAAAGTCAAAGCATGTAATTGTCTTCCTATGTCAAGTGATGCTGTATTGGCACATATGTTGAGCAAGGAGCATAATATAACACCATCAATCCCTAAGTGCATCTGATGTAACCCACCAAAGAGAATCAAGGCATCTCTACTACAGATACCTTCACGTGCATATCCAGTGATCAATGCTGTGCATGATATTGTATCTTTTTTCAGCATATTCTTGTATATACACTTCGCACTCCTCACACTTCCACATTTTGCATATGCATCGATCAGCGATCCATTCAAAACATTATAAGACCCAAAACCCAAATGGATGACAAATGCATGTACTTGGTTGACTGTCATGAGACAACTACCGCCGGTGGAAGCTTTCAGAACATTTGCCAAGGTGAAGCAATCAGGGATCATACCTATTGAAATTAGTTAGGCAATAATGCTGAGAAGAAGTTCAAGAGAAATTCTACACACATTTGTGAGACTGTATAAAAGCATCTAGTTAAAAGAAATAAAATAACACATTTAACAGAAAGGGAAAATGACGTTTAGGACACAGAGTGTTAGTGAAAGAAGATATGAGAGTGACTGAGAGAGTGTGGGGACTCGGGAAAGGAGTGTTAGCAGCTCCTTGCTTATTTTACTTCATAATTCTTAGTTCTTGAAACAAATTCAATAATCATTATAACTCTATAACTAATCTTCATTGCACAAGCTAATTTCACCAAACCTATTATTTAAAAATTTATGCCCTCATCCATAGAGGATAGTCCAGTCAACATCACTAAAATACCTATATAAATTTAAATGTTCTTTCCCAGCATAAAACAATCCCTACCTATAATTCCATGGCAACAAACAGAAGGCCCATTCGCCTCACAACCTGACCATTGACCTTTACATCAATGAAACAACAGCCCAGCATCTGATAGACTGGCAAGCTAGATAGCTTAGAAAAAAAGCTAAATGACCAGAGAGTCCCGAGCGCTAATTCCTTCCAATATTTTTAGTGAGTCCTATGCCCCGGGCATTCCTTGTAAACGGTTAAATATTTCATAATTTTCATTATCTATCTTCTGTCATGACCACTTTGGTAAAATTATATTAAGTAACCTCCCTTCAGAGAAATATTGGACAAAGCGCGAACAAAAAAATATAATCAGAAAGGAACAAGTTATAAATGCAAGCACATCTGATGTTACCTCCTCTAAGCATTGAACGGAACATTTTAAAGGCACAATTAGTGAGCCTCTGAACGGCATACCCACCAATCATCGCATTCCAAGAAACCACATCCCTCTCTGACATCGACTCAAAAACATAACAAGCATCCTCCATTTTCCCGCACTTGGAATGCAAATCAACCAATGCACTCTGGACAAACAAATTCTCAACAAACCTTCCCTTACATATACATCCTTGGATCTGCTTCCCTCTATCCAAACACATCATAGTCGTACAAGCCCTCAAAGCACTTCCATAAGTAAACTGATTAGCTTTAACGCTGTTCCGGTGCATTGCCGAAAACACCATCAGGGCTTCCTTTGAAAATCCATTCTGAGAGTACCCAGACAACAATGCTGTCCAAGAAACGACACTCTTTTCAGGCATTTTATCGAACACTTTACGAGCATTGACCATGTCACCGATTTTCGCATAAAATATAATCATTTTGGTGTTTAAATACAGATTTGAACCAAACCCATTTGCTAAGAGATGGTTGTGGATCAAATGGCCCTCTTTTTCAGCATTTTTATCAATGCAAAGCTGCAAAATCTTTGAATACGAAGAGTAATCCGGCTCAAATGGTCGGGAAAATAACAGTTTCAGAGCGCTTTGTAATCTTCCCAAATTGCATAATGATTGAATGGTTGATTCTAGAAATGCAGGTTTGGTTGGTTCGTTGAGTTTGGTAGCCGTTTTCATGCTGAGTCTGTTCATGGTAGAATTCCATGCAAAAGTATTTGAACACTCTTAACTAATCTGGTGATTCATCCTGAATATATGTGGTTCATACTCATGTCCAATGAATTGCAACTCCTTCATGAGATCGGTATCGCACCACTGGAAGTCAATTGGGTATGCATATACCACGTTTGGAGTGAACGAAACTTTGAGGTTTTTTCAGGTAGAATGTTCATTCGCAATCGCAATCGTAGGTTTGGCTCTCTCTCTCTGTGCCTGTTCAATTGGGCCTAACAAGGCATTGTTTTTGCTTCCCTTGTCGTAGTGGGCTTTTTTTGTACAGTCATCATTTGACGCTTCTATCCAAAATGGGCTGCTTTTTTTTTTTTGCCAAATTAGGGTGAGAAGAAATCTAAAACGGACACACCGGGAGAACTGGGCACTCTAGATCACTAGATAATGCCCATTAACTCGTACAGTGTACATTTTTCACTCGCTTCAAAATTTGATAATTTACAAAAAAAAGAAAAAAAGAAAAAGAAAAAAAAGGGAAGAATATTTTGGTTTCAAAATGGGGCGCCACTGTTCTTGAGACTTTATTGTCCCGTGGGAATCAGTTGTGTCAGTTTATTTTCGATAATATATATATATATATATATATATATATATATATATATATATATATATATATCTATATTAGAGGTGCAAAATTCTACTCAATCAATAATAATTGAGAAAAATAATACAACACACTCATAAACAGTTGAAGATACCAAAACGACCCGGATTTGGAGTGATCCACGTTGCATAGGATGGGTCGGGTGTGGACGAACGGGATGAAGCCAGTTCGCGCCGTATGGGCCCAGGTCCATAAAGCCATTTCAGAAGTCCATGATAAAGTGAGAGAAATCGAGTCCAGCCAAAGGAGAACAAGATAGGACCAGCTTAGTGGAGTTTGTAACCGTCTATAAATAGAAGGGATTGAGAGGGAAAAGGGGTTGAAAAAAAATCATTGAGAGTGTAAAGTTTCTCTCTCTACAATTAGGGAAAAATTCTTTGTACTTTCAATTGGCGCCGTCTGTGGGAAGAACGGGAAGGATTGATTGATATCATTCCAGATCGGATTGATTCAACGCATTCTGCGAGGAAGACGATTAATCTGCGAAAGCTGAATCAACATTGGTGATAATACGATTTGTCTTGACGAGTCCAGATCCGGTTGATTTTGGAAAATTGGCGTCCGATCCAAGCAGATCAGATCCGTGCTTGATTCGGCGAATTGCGCGGTTGTGATCTGTTGTGGTTACTGAATCCGGCCAGTAGTGGACTGAATTCGGCAAGCATAAGTTCAGATCTGGTGTGCGTGCGTTAGCGGAACTCCGATTTGATCAAGAAGCCTGCAGTTGATGACTTTGCTCCGATCTGGAATGATGATCGGAGAGGCGAACCCGAATTCTTTGGAGAACGGCCAGCAGACAAAGCTCGATGAGCTGATGAACATGATCGATGCTTTGAGAAAAGAAAATGCAGAGCTATAAGCTGGAATGGAGCATCGAGAGGCTCCTGCAATTTCGAGGCCGCCTCCTGAAGGAGAGGGAGCTTTATCGTCCGAAGCTGATCATCAAGGTGATCCAGAAGACGTCAATCGTGGTGGTCAACGTCGTGATGAAGGTATAATCGGTAATCTGCCTCCGAATGTCGGCCGAGTAGAGGATCGGGAAGGATCTGTTCGTCTGGAACCGCATCACAAACGGATTATGAGGGAGGAAGCACCGGCGTATGAACATCGGATTGCGTCACCATGGCGGAGTGAATTTGCGGAGGATAGGTCGTTCGATCTGCCATACCGACCTTCATTAGCGACAGTTGATTACCATAGCTCGGAAAGGAGATCTGCTGATCGAGGATTTCCGTCACGGTTTTCAAGAGAAAACGAAGCACTGCGTTCCTCAGCAAGGACGGTCGCATCGCCGTTCACTGATGAAATTCTAAACGCGCCGAATTCGAAGAAGTTTTCCATGCCGATTTTCATTCTGTTCGACGGAACAACCGATCCGGTCGATCACATATACCATATTCAGTTGAAAATGGCTTTGAATACTAATAATGATCCTTTGATGTGCAAGTGCTTCCCTACGAGCTTGGCTGGACCAGCTCTCAATTGGTTTAAGAATCTGGCTCAAGGCTCAATCGCCAGTTTCCAGGACTTATGTGATAAGTTCATAAGCCAGTATTACGGGAATAAGCGTCCGGCTAAGGACGTATCGAGCCTTTTTACAATGAAGCAGCATGAGGATGAGCGGCTCCAAGCTTTTCTCACCCGGTTCAACCTCATTAAAAGCATGGTAATGGAGTGTCACCCGTCAACAGCAGTCCAAGCATTTAAACTCGCAATGAACCGGGGGACGCCGTTCCACACCAACTTGGTGGTTAATACGCCAAAGACAATGGACGAGCTGAACGAGAGAGCTGACGGTTTTGTTCGCCTTGAGGAGGAAGAAGCAGCTAATTCAAGGAAGACGTCAATTATTTCGACGGAGGAGAAGTCCAAAGCCAAGATCCGGCAAAAACAAGCTCAACCGCAACGTCACCCCTCATGGAAGGCGGAGAAGAGGCCCAGGGAGGAGGAATCAGTCACTCCACTCAGAGTCACCTTAGCAAGGCTATACCGGGAGAACAAAGATAAGTTTCGTCCTCCTCTGCTAATCAGGCAGCCTCTTGAACAGAGGGATCAGACTAAACATTGTGCTTTCCATAGTGATTTTGGGTATCAGACTAACGAATGCAGGAACCTAAGGAGGCAGGTAGAGATGCTGATCGCAAAGGGGGAGTTTGCAAGCTATGTTCAGGGTCCGGTGCAAGAGCATAACCGCCCAACTGAACAAATCAAGCGGAACCAGAGGCCGAACCAACACAACTCCCAGCCCGTCCGGATTATAAACGCAATTCATGGCCGGCCTGAACAAACGACAGAATCAGAGGAGTTGCTCAGGATGAGGTTACGCCAGGCCCAGCTGAAAAGAAGAATTGGTAGTGTGCGCGCTTTGCACCAGCAGAACACGTCCACGTCGATAAAGTTTGATAAAACGGACCTGCTACGCGTTTAGATTCCTCAAGAAGATCCACTAGTCGTCAGTCTGACGATTGTAGAATGCCTGGTTCGGAGAGTCCTGATTGATCCAGGAAGTAGTGCAAATGTTATGCCCAGGGTGACGTTCGACCGACTGGAGATCGAACCCGAAAAACTCAAACCCACAGGAAATCCGTTGCTCGGATTTGATGGGAAGCGAGTGGAACCCATTGGAATAGTGGAATTGACAGTACAAGCCGCTGAGCGGGTTTTGACTGATAGTTTCGTGGTAGTGGAAATTTATCCATCATACAACCTCTTGATGGGCAGAGGATGGATTCACAGAATTCAGGGTGTTCCGTCGACCTTACATCAAGTGATGCGATGTCTGGGTCCGGATGGGACCAAGGTGATAGATATACACGGGGACCAGGTTGCGGCTAAAGAATGTTATTCAGTAACTTTGAAATCTGCTGGAAAAGGGAAAAATCCCATCCGTTCCGCCATTCCAAAATAGCAATTACAGAACCCTCCTCCCAGCAAGGATAAGGGGGAGGAGCCACCAGTTCTGACCACAGAACCCCTTCATGAAGTAAAGATTGATCATGAGAAACCAGACCGAACAACAAGGGTGGGCACCAAACTCACTGAAGAAGAGAGACTAGAGTTGACTAATTTCCTGATTCGGAATGCGGATGTATTCGCATGGAGCCATTCAGATATGCCAGGGATAAATCCTGCTGTATCCTGCCATTCCCTCAATGTGGATCCAAATGCAAAGCCAGTGAAGCAGAAGCAGAGAAGATTTGCTCCAGAATGAAACCAGATTATAGCTGAGGAGGTTGATCGGCTGCTTGAAGCCGGATTTATCAGAGAAGTTCAGTACCCGGCCTGGCTCTCTAACGTTGTTGTAGTGCAGAAGAAGAATGGGAAATGGAGAGTATGCATCGACTTCACCAACCTAAACAAAGCCTGCCCAAAGGATAGTTTCCCATTGCCCAGGATTGATCAAATGGTAGATGCCACCATAGGATATGAGCGGTTAACTTTCCTGGATGCTTATTCCGGTTATAACCAAATTCCTATGGACCCAGTTGATGAAGAGAAAACTTCATTTGTTACTGAACGAGGGACTTATTGCTATAAAGTCATGCCATTCGGATTAAAAAATGCTGGAGCTACTTATCAGAGGCTGATCAGCAAGATTTTTAAGGGCCAGATGGGCAGCACTGTCGAGGCTTACATTGATGATATGGTGGTCAAGAGTAAGAAGAAGAACGATCATTTAGCGCACCCGCAAGATGTGTTCGATGTGTTGCGCCAGTATGGGATGAAGCTTAATCCGGCCAAATGCTCGTTCGGTGTAAGCTCCAGTCAATTCCTGGGACATGTGGTCAATCATAGAGGAATTGAGGTCAGCACAGCACAGGCAGAAGCCTTGATCAGGAATGCAGAGCCAAAGACAATTAAAGAGGTGCAAGCACTCACAGGCAGGATAGCCGCATTGAGCCGATTTATTTCCACGCTTTCGGACAGCTGTAAACCTTTCTTTGATACAATACGAGGGCATGGAAGACAAACCTGGGGGGATGAGCAACGGCAGGTACTAACTAGCCTGAAGGAGTACATGCGTAATCCTCCGGTTCTGTCTGCTCCAGAACCGAATGAAAAACTTTTTCTATATCTTGGGGTGTCCAGTATAGCAACCAGTGCCGTTCTGATCCGTTGCAAAGAGGGCAAGCAGTTCCCGGTGTTTTATGTTAGCAAGACGATGTCTGAACCGAAGAGAAGGTACTCTAGGGCCGAACGAATGATCTTGTCGCTGGTCAACGTAAAAAGGAAGCTTAGACACTATTTTGAATCTCATCCAATCGTCGTTTTAACAACTTTCCCTTTGAGAATGATCCTGCACAAACCGCACTTGTCGGGGAGAATGACCAAGTGGGCCATTGAATTGAGTTCATTTGATATCGCGTACGAGCCCAGGACGGCAATTAAAGGTCAAGCGGTGGCGGATTTCCTACTTGACTGTGATGCTGAAGATACGGTAGAGGATTGTAATTATTCCTGGTGGAAGCTTTTCATGGACGGCTCCTCGAATCAAATGGGGGCCACCAGAAAGAACTACGCTAAGCCAAGTGATAAGACTAGAGTTCAGCGCGACCAACAATGAGGCAGAATACGAGGCGTTGATAGTTGGGCTGAAGTTGGCTAAAGAATTGAAGATTAAGAATCTGATGGCTTATAGTGATTCACAACTAGTCATTCGACAAGTCAATGGGGACTATGGGGCCAAGGATGAGACTATGGAAG